GGGGGGGGGGGGAGCGAGAGGCGGGAAAGCGGGGGAGAGGACACAGGCGGGAGAGGGAGGCAGAGAAAGAGAGAGGGAGGGACAAAGGCGGGGCGCGGGAGCGAGGGCTTGGGTTGAGACCGAAGGCGCGAGGAGGGAGGGAGAGACGTGCGCGCATGCCGGGTGGCTGGCACCGGCACAGGGGCCGCGGAAGAATGGCGCCGCGATCGGGGCCGGCCGCTTGGCCGAGTCAGGAGCGAGGGCGGAGGAGAGGACCGGGGGAAAGGGGGTGCCACCGCTGGGGCCGATCTCCTTCTCCGGAGGGAGCTCCTGTGTTCCCCCCCCCCCCCCCCCCGCTGGGCGGATTGCAAGGGGGAACAAGGGGAGACCCCCGAGCGCGAGAAGGGGCCGGGGAGAGCGGGAATGTGCCCAACGGACGGAACATGGACGTGAGGGGGTGGGGACACATCGATCGCTGGCGCGTCTCCCCCCCCCCCCCCCGGCCGCCCAGGGGCGGCGCGGGGAGCAAGAAACGGTCGACCCGTGTGGCGCGCGAGGCCGTGGTTTAAATGCTATTTTTCCTGGCGCCGCCGGCCTTCCGGCGATTTTGGTGCTGTGGTTTAGTGGGCGGGGCTTCGGTGGGCAGGCAAACGAGTTCGATTCTCACTAGGGCAGGGACCGCTTTTGGCTGCCGTCAATGTCCAGATCCACGGAGATGGGGTGTCTCGCTCTTCGCACCCCCCCCTGTTGTTGGCGCCACGCCAGCATGTCTCCTATCGTTCCCACTGGGGGGGGCAACAAGGCGGTCAGCACCACCAAGCGGGGATGGCGGCGGCTGGCCCCCGGGGCCAGGCGAGCCGGTGCAATGGTATGTACCTTCGCCGGCACGGAGGACCGGCTGGACCTGGTCCAGGGCTTCGACCGGGACCTCCTTGAGACCGAGGACGCGCACCTCGCCGCGCGCGTCCTCGATGATGCGCATGGTGGTCCCGGAGCCGGGCTGCAGCAAGTCCCGCAGGTTGTCATTGTAGATCTCCATGTACGACAGGCGGAAGGAGTATGTGCGTGTGTGGTCCTAGCATGGTGGCCGAAACCGGGGGGGGGGGGAGAGGGGCGGGTCAGTGCGGAGGAGGGGGGGGGGCCTGGAATGGCCGCGTCGGGGGCTGGGCCCGAGTGCCGCGTACCTGGGCCGAGAGGGAGAAGAGGGCATCCAGCGCGCGGGAAATGAGCCCCGGGTCGCCGGCGCTGCCGGACATGGTGTGCGTCTTGCCGGAGGCGGTCTGGCCATATGCGAAGACGGTGCCTGGGCGACGATGGAGAGGGGGTGCCGTGGCTGGCATGTCAGTGTATGTGGGGGGGGGTGGGGAGAGGGGGCGCCGCGCGCGTGCGCAGCGGAGAAGGACGAGAGGGGGCGCAACAAGAAGAGGAAGGGGGGGGGCTGCGCGCACCATTGATCCCGCGCAGGGCCGCCTGCACAATGTGATGGACACAGGTGTCGAAGACGGCCTCGTTGGTGGCGGCATGGTCGAAGACGTGGTCTGGGCCAGCGGGCGGGGGAGGGGGAACGGAGAGGGCGGTGAGACACGGAGATGGGAGGCAGCGAGCGGACACAGGCGGCAGAGGCAGAGGAGGAGCATGCAGCGTGGCCTGCCGGCCCGGCGGCCGGGACGCACCGAAGTGGAAGGTCGGCCCGCCGGGGGCCAGGCTGTCGCGCGGCTGTGGGGTCGCCGCGGCCGCGGCAGCCGCAGCAGCACGATCCGCCTGGACGGTCTTGCCCTGGGGGCTGATCAGCCAGGCGGGCAGGGCGTTGTCACCGGCGCGAGCGCGGTCCAGCGGCCGGAAGCGCACGGCCACACTGATGGAGCATGTGGAGGCGCCGCGGCCGGCGGCGTCCGGCACCGGGCGAGTCGGCACCGGGAAGGCATCCTCGGCCTCG